TCTAGGAAAAAAGTTTTCATAACAAAAATAGAGAATTACAAAGGTAAATACACTGCATATTATTATGTTAAAAGAATATATTTCATTTGCTAATCCATTTCTCAACTCATTTCCCAATAATAATATAACTTTTTTGCATAAAACATTTTAATTATTGTTTTTAAACATTTTAATTATTAACAAAGTATCTCACACTTGGTATAATTTTGAGCAATATCCTATTTCACAATATCTATTACACTTTTTGGTCCTTGTTTACACTTTCAGCTTCTCATACCAGACGGACTCATTATCAATAGGTACTTTCCCAGTTCAAGGTTGAGGAGGAAACTGAAAAAAAAGTATATAACTTTGCAGAAATAAAATACTTGACCCACGATCAACAGAACAATAATTAATTACCAGCAGCTAAATGGATGAAATGAACTTATTTCATTATGATTAATATTTTATTTTAATTGACATAAGAAAAAAACTTCTCTGTTTAATCTATCCCTCATCCTCAATTTAACAGAGTATATCTACACAAACAAGAGTAAAGCACTCTTTTTAAAATTTTAATAATATAGTTAACCTAATATAGCCGCACGATTAATATTATAATCTAAAAAATGTTAATAAAATATTTTACCTTTTTCTATTCCATCTTCAAATGCAGCATATATTTTATACTTTTAGCATGCTGAAGCTCACTTTAAATGTCAATTTTTGTCTCAGGTGAACTTAAAAATTTCAAAGAAAAAAATTCCATAAGAGATCTTAGTATCAATTATCAACCAATGCATCATCACAACAATTTAAGAAAAATAATTGTGTAGATTATAATGATATGTGTTGACTGGCCTTGTATACCAAACAATGACAGCAACATTTTACAAGTTCATTTACTTTTTATGACTAAATATCCTATTTTATAAATCTGAGGGTGGAAAATGTGATCAGATACTTTGCTACAGATTATCCACTTCTAGATGGACTTAATGTGTATTATTAAGTAGGTTATCTATGTAGCTACAATAAGAATCCATCATTTTTCTTACCAGATTGTAATTGGAAACTAACTGTGCCAAAAATTCCATTTAATTAAATATGTGTTAAAGAAAAAAAGATCCAACCTCACCTTATTAAACATGGTAAGACAGACCTTACACAGGACCATCATTACAGGTATAGGGACCATGGCAACAGATTCTTGCAGTGGCAAGAAAGACTGGGCTCCACTCCAAGAAAATGGGCAAGGGTGAGGCCAATGCATGGAAAATTACTAAGAGGAAACATCAGGAGTAAGAAAAATTCAGGCTACCAACTACATAGGTGTCTTGCTGAGTACAAGGCCATGGGGATCAGGTATCACTGGGTGATGGTAGAGGATAAGGAACCAAGTCAGATATGAGATGTGGAGGGTGGGGGTCCTTGCTAATGGACATGGCTATTACTGAAACTGGATTGTGCAAGGAAGTAACAGAAAGGCTTAAGACTGTGACCAAAGTGTGGTCAAGAAAAGAGTCTTTGTCACAGGATAAGCCAACTATTGAGAAAAAAAGACTGGGGCTAGGAGTGCAGCTTAGTGGTAGGGCACTTGCCCAGCCCTGGTTTTGATCCCCAGGACACCCCATACCCAAAAGAAACAAAGACTATACTCTACATGTGGAAATGAGACTTATGAAGTTCTCCATAACCCCTGGGTCACAGGCCAAGTCTGGTGGGTGATTGACACATCATCTGTGTTTATAGCTGAGCTCCACCTCCCGTCAGATCAGCTGCAGCATTACATTCTCACAGTAGTGTGAACCCTACTGTGAACTATGCATGCAAGGGATCTAAGTTGGATGTTCTTCACAAAATTTCATCCCTGATAATCTGAGGTGGAGCTGAGGCAGTGATGCTAGCATCAGGGTGTACATGCAGATGAGCATTAGCAGAGGTTTGCCTAATACAGAGGCCATAAGAAATCAATTGCTTTTAGACTTGTATCAAACTCTGTGAGTGGCAAGTGATTCTGCATTACAGTGAGTTGTATAATTATTTGATTATATGTTATGACATAATCATAATAGAAATAAGGTGCACAATAAATGTAACGAGCTTGAATCATCCTGAAACCAGCAGCAGTTCCCCACCCACTATCCCATCCAAGACAAAAGTGTCTCCCACAAATCCTGTCCCTAGTCCAAAAAGGTTGGAGACTGCTGCTCTAGAAAATGGTGGGTTGACTTTATAACACAAATTTTCTGCCTTATGGATGGCAAAGAATTTCATTTCCTAGGGCCAAGAATTTAGCTCAGTGCTGCAGTGCCTGCCTCACAAGCACAAGGTCCTGAGTTGGATCACCAGCACCAGGGTGGGGGTGGGGGTGGGGGAATTTCATTTCCTGTTAGGCCGGGAAAATTATGGGGATCCCAGAGAGAATAACACAGATAAAGATCTCCTATAATTACTTCACACATAAAAGTAATTCCCAGCCCTAAGTGCTGGGACAGAAATTGCGTAAAGCCTTAAAATCATATAACTCTAGTTTTGCTGGCCATACCAAAAAGGAGGGGGGAGATGGATTTACATGTTAATTGAAAATTCTCTTGTGCCAAGAAAATAAAAATTTAGCCAAATAGAACACAATAACAGCTTACTGGTGCTGAGTCATAAAATTGTTAAGCAGCCCACACAATCCTGTCCATGTCTCAAAGGCACAAACTTGGCCACCAAGAAGGGAAAACTAGAAGCAAAATTCAGTCCTTCAATCTGCTTCATTCGTGTTCCCACCATGAGGTGGGTGTGGTGGCCATCTACATCTGAAGAAAACCCAAAAATAACGGATGAGATGATCGCTTTTTACTACGTCCCATAAATATGGAGTCTTCAGCAAAAAACAATGCTATCACTGGTTTTTCCTCTGCTGACAAGTGAAGATGTTTTATGACTACGAAGGACACATGAGAACACGGCTGATTTTTACCTTGAACAAAGTAACCTTTTGCCTGTTGTATTTTATTGACGTCCTGGGGATTGAGCCTAGGGTGGTTCTTCCACCGAGCTACTAAGCTGCCCTTTCTATTTGTTATTTTGAAAAAGGGTTTTGCAAGTTACATAAAACCAGCTCTTTAAACTAGGGTCCCTCTGCTGCAGGGTACCCACTGTGTGCACGACACCCACACAAGTACTTCAATGCCACCCTGTGGGACTGCGGGGCCTAGGGAACTGGCTCAGACATGAAGGTTGTGCTGCCTGCTGTGCCATGGAGAAAAGGCCCGCGTCTCCACCACAGGACCTGCCAGCATCCGTGAAACTGGCTGTTCTTTAGTTGACTTGCAAGAAGCATAAAATCTTGGACCTTGCTTAGCTATTGCTGGGCAAGCAGGTAGCCTATACAAAACTCTGTGGTAGGTGAGAGTAGAACTCGTATAAGGATCTGAAAGAAGACGAGCCAGCGTGGAGTAGAGAGAGCCAGCATGGTGTGAGACGAGGGGAGGTGGTTCTCCGAGGGACCCCTGAGAGTCCTGCGGAGGCCGGCCTGGGGCGGGGCGGGGGTGACTATCTGTTGGAGCCACGCCGTTTTTGTGCAGGATGCGTAAAGTTATTAAACTGCGAACTTTAGGGCCCACAGGAGGACAAAGCATGGCCAAGCAAAGCCCAGGAGATAATTTAAAGGAAGGCAGAGAGTGACCATGGGAAGTATTTTCTCACGTCCCTTACCTTATGGAAATTTCTGCCCGCACCTACTGCTCTGTGCAGTCGCCTGACAGTTCCTCTCTCAGCGCCCCAACAGGCCAGGCAAGTTCTCATTGCCTCAGTGCCGACAGTCATCTTGAGCACACCAGTTAAAGGAAGAAGCGGCGACCTTCAGCACACAGAGTGTGATGCAAGACAAGCCGCTTCTTGTCTGGGAATCTTACCCTGAAGCCGAGGAAGCAAGCGGGAGGGGGAGATGGGACAGGAGCTAGGACGTCAGCGCAGCTCCCACCTGGCCCTCTACCGCTGTGCAGAAAGGAAGGGCTTTGGTGGGAATCTCTGGCCCATCTGGCTCTTTGAGTTCAGAACTTTCCCCTCGTGGACTATTCACTGAGAGCCGCGGATGGAGAAATGGGGTTGTCCTGAATCTTTTTGGCGGTTTGGAAGCGGCGGTCGTTTGCTGTTGCTGTTCAGCGGTCCCAGGATGGACCCCAAGGCCTCAGGCAGGCTAAGAACGCGCTCTGCCACCAGGCTGTGCCTGCTCTTACTCTCAGAGCAGCACAGAGGGGCCACCCCCTGGGCTTGGGCTGCAAGAGCATCGTTGTGAGGACAACCAGTGTTGATCCCAGGTTCCCTATGCAGCTGCTCCCAGCAATCACAAGGGACCCGTGTTTACGCCTGGGACTTTGCCAGGCCCCAGCCTTGCCACAGACCCTTAGTTGTTTTTGCTGGGACTTAGAAAGGGGGAAGGAAATGACCTCAGAACTCAGAATCCTCGGAGGAATTTCCCTCTCCTCTCCTGGCTTTCCATTTAATAATCAGCATATAATCTGCTAAAAGGAAGGGATGTGGGTCCCCTCCCTTCCTCCTCCCAAGCCACCCCACAGCTCCCTGGTCCTTACCTAGACCTGGGCCAGTTGTGGGAGCATCCAGGAGAGAAAGTTTGAGGGGAGAGCTGGTCCGGTCTGGCAAGGGGATACAATAGCAGTCCTATTTGGGGTGCTGTGGCTTATGTAACTCAACTGTACCTGATTTCAACCTGGCCAGGCGCCTGGACCGAGGGCTGAGATGGGGGAGAAGCTGCCAGCAAAGCCGGGAAACTGCTGGCAAGAAGCAAGTGGTGGCAGGCGAAAGGAGCGGGAGGAAGATTTGGAAAGTGGCTGAGTCACCACCTCAGTGGCTCTGTTGCTGGCAGGTGCCTCATGAAGACCTGGCCCGCAGTTTTCAAAACTCCAGCGTTTCTCAACTTCAACTTAGTGGCTGACAGGACTCTCCACCCTTACCACCAGCCAAAGCGTGGTTCCTTCATTTGCACACACTGAGTTCCTGTAAAGGGGATGGTTTGGGTGTGGAAGAGGGGAGTGTGAGGGGTTTAAAAGGAAGTATGGGGACCAGGAAGAAGCAGCTGAGCACCAGGAGCCCAAGGGCCGCCTCTGCTACAACAGGATGGGTGCAAGGGGAACTCTGATAGGTGTCTGCTCTGGCCAAGTGGGGTTGGATCAGACAGGGGGTTTAGCGGAAGCCAGCAAAGCCACTGCATGGGGGCCCCGTGCAGTACCTGGGGGGTGGGGGGGGGAGGGGACGTGGGGAGGGTGGT